TTATAACATAACCAAAGTAAAGCGCGCGCTCTGATTGGTCAATTTAGCGTCCCCCATTTGCCCATGGGTGTACGCTGCTGACGTGAGCAAATGCAAAGACTATTTTTCCGCGCGCGCTTGTTTTTTCTGGTCACGTAAGATTTGTTAAATAAAAGGGAACTCTTTAGCTACAATGTATCAATGTTATGTTATAAAACAAATGGTAAACACCACAGCGTACACTATTGAGTTATGGATGCACTTGGGAGGTTTGCTAAGTACTCAAGAAGCTAGAGTCGCACTCGACCATCGCCTCGCGCGACTCATACGCTTCTTTCGTGCTAGCAACCTCCCGCGTGCATCCATAACTCAATAGTCTACGCTGTGGTGTTTACCATTTGTTAAATGGATGCACTTGGGAGGTTTGCTAAGCACTCAAGAAGCTAGAGTCGCTCTCGGCTATCGCCTCGAGCGACTCTTACGCTTCTTTCGTGCTTAGCAACCTCCCGCGTGCATCCATAACTCAATAGTGTACGGTGTGGTGTTTACCATTTGTTAATTTTTAAATGTTCGTGAACTCGGCTTTGATTTGTTAGTATGCAACAAGGTACTTCTGCCCAGTTTATTTGCTCTTTTTACTTGTAATGTTTGGTCAACAGTCTGCCAATGTTTTCCTCATGACTGGTTAGCCAATATACACTCCATTCATAGGTTTTTTTTTTATTGTCAGACAAACAGAGAGGAATTCAAGCTTCGGTTTTTATCATCGTGAACTAAACTGAACGTACAAATGAAATAACCGAGGAAGTCATTTTCAGTTCTGCAAATATTCTTAGTATTCGTTTGGTACATTTCCGAAAAATCCTGGTTGCCTCCAAATTAATAATACCCTTTCCATCATACGCGTCAGCGTACTCGGAGGGGGGGGAGGGGGGTGTAAAATCAATAAAAACCTTCTCATTTCATTGGCATATTAGAAAAAAGGTGAGAGGCAATTGGCAGTCGCACATTTTCATAGCTTTTTCTATTTCCAAGAAAAGTTTTCGACGCCGGATCGAGAGATCGACCGCTTGATTTGAAATAGACACATTGAACTTGAGAAATGTTTCGACTTTTTGTGTTTCTTGCGGTGTGTTTGTTCAGGTGGCCGCTGTAGGCGCTTTCTTTCAGTTGTAAATTAATGTTGAGCTTTCCTTTTGTTTATTCAAATATCTATTATAAGGATGAAGTTCATTGAATTCGGTTTTAACTTATGTTTAAACCATGTAAATCCAGTATAGGATCGTTGTGTTCAAATCTTTCCAGTGTCTGCTTCTCTAAAACTGTCAAAGCGAGAGAGACCGTTATGGGACTTAGATATTTAGTCTCCTTCCGACGAATTTTCATCGGAAATCAGGTTCCATTATCGTCATGGAAAATGTAACTTCGTTTGACGGACGCAATATGACCTCTCCAGAAGCTACGCTTCAATAATGATAATAATAGATAATAATTTATTTAATTATATAGCGCCCTTTACCACTTCTAGGATGATCAATTCAGCTGCATGTTTACATTTGTAGTATTACAAACTGGCTCCTTGTTTCTAGATCTTCCTACATCGATGGTCCGTATTGTATCTGCCATCCTTGCAATCATGGGGAACAATTTAATCTTGGTATCTTCGTTTAGGACAGCTTCAACTGCTTCACCTTCCAAAGTACTTCTGAGAAGCCAGGCCATAACATATCTGGGTGTGGGACTGCTCGCACAACCATTATATATCGTGAAAAGGCTCTCCTCCGACAAAGACGCCAAATTTTTCGCGGTTTGCTCTTCGATCTGCTCATCTCTCGATCACTTCTTTCTTTACAATGATGTTTATTAGCGTCGATAAGTTAATTTAATTTAATTTACTCCATTTTCACTTCATTATTTGCAGTGGGGAAGGACGAGAAAGGAACATGCGAACCATTCGTGCTAGTCCACCCATCCCACCCCAGGGGAGGACATCTAACCATTTCTTGATGTTATAGAAAGGTAGCAAATTCTTCTCAATTATTTTAAGACCTTGAGTGTTGGTGCGGCCGGGGCTCGAACCCTCGACCTCCCGCATGACAGTCCAGCGCTCTATCCATTGAGCTAACTGGGAGGCGGTTAGTCCCTGGCGTTACATCTAAAGCTACGCTATCGAATTGTCGTTACGCTCAAGCGCTCTATTCTTGTTGTCGTTTTTGTCAGACTTGTTGCTTCGCCATGGTCTCTATCCTACACCTGGTTTTCTGAAGTTTACTTCATGTTGATATTGTTGATTATGCCCTGTTGTTTACTGGTATCCTCCCTTGCCTTCATAAAACTATATATTGTGTTACGACGACAAAAAAGGACATGTCAAAACGAAACGCAGCTGGAATTTGCTCGTCGAGCCAACATCCTTAGAATATCCAGATACAAGAAATCAGTCAAGAGTATGTTATTCGTTTTCTGTGTGCTATTGATCGCATACATTCCTGCGTGGATGGTGATTCTATTAAGCATCATCTACGGGAATATCGAGATTTTGAAAATGGCGAATAAATAGACAATGACTCTGTTACTGATGAACTCCGCTTGTAACCCATCTTATATCTGTGGAAGATGGAAGATCTGCGGGTCGCTGCTTTAGAGGCACTCGAGCGTGTAATCCCGAAATCACTTATGAAGAATACAGCGAGAAACGCCAACGAGAGCTTTTAGTTACAAGTTGACTGATTGATTGAGTTACAAGATAAAATAAAAAACGTGTTGGTAGCTACTACTTTATCATGATTGTAACTAATAATGGATTGGTGGCTGAACAAGCCTATTCGAGAGCGGCAGACTTTTTGGCATACTGGGCAGACGTAGTCAACAGCAGCTTTGCGTGTTGTCCTGGAATCCTGGGGATTCTTGATACGATAAAGTTCGAAGTTGTTAACCAGCACAGCACGGCAGGTTGATTGCCACCCTAAGCAGCTGATGTATTTTTCCCAGGTCCTTTCAAAACCTCCGTATCAGGATCTCTTGTATTTTAACCAATAAGATTCAACTCTAATATCAGTTTGATCTATCCTCTTCTATCATCTCTTGACAAGAAAACAAGCGCGAATAATGTAAATCTACTCCAGACCACACCAACTGTGTGATGGGCTCAATACAAATAAGACAGAATTTTTTCTTTATTCCAACATTCCGTTACTTATATGATTTACATTTCACTTCCATTTACTGATCCAAGTGGATGACTACCATTATCCAATCTATCTTAATCTTTAAACTACCCTATGACTAATAACGACGCCTAGGAAACCGTCGATATATATATCTTATTAACCAAGCGCGAGGGCCGTACTGGGAGAATATCGGCCCGAGGTCTTGACAGTACGGACCGAGCGCAGCGAGGTCCGAACAAAAAAGACCTGACGATTGTTGCCTGACGATTGCTTCGCAAGAGGCATGAAACTCAGAGTTGCAGTAAAAGTTCAAGTAGCCTAGATCTTGAAGTATATATATATATATATATGTAAAACTATCTTAGTGATAGATGTTTATTCCATGATAGAATAACTGAATGATGTCACAACTCGACCCCTAGCATACCGTCGATGTAAAGAAAAAGCGGGCTTGCATTTCTTAGAAGCATTTCGACAGCAGCTGGCTGTTTTCTCTTCATATCTCTCTTGGCCCCAGACCTCCCCTAAAGGTTAACATGCGAATGCAAGGTTGAACTTGAAAAAGAATGGTCAATAATAAGCCGCTGAGGTTCCTGTTCTCTGACTATGTGGAAGCAATATTTGCTTATTCCGCGCTGTTATTGTGCTCGGGATGGCTGAGAAATGTACAAAATCTCTAAGGGTATAGAGAGCTATTGTTCTGCACATTAGACATGTTTTTTCTTCACTTTCTCGTTGCCGTCGCCGTCGAAGTTTTCTATACTCTCTTGTTCTTCTTCTAATTGTAGATGGCATCGTTTCGATTCAATGCTATACTGTTTGTTCTACGTCGGGCAACGAAGTCGAATCACTACGCGACGCTATTTGTTCTTTGAGAGGGGGTTGAGTCGGAGATTTTGGCTGTGTCACAATAGAATTTACCTTCTCCCCTCCTTTGTCCTCTATAGCATTCTAACGATCCTCTCTCAATGGCAGTAAATTTCCTATAGTTCTCCCTTTATAAGCTCTCAGCGACAACTGATCCTCCACTATTTCCCCTGAAAATCATGAGACTCCCCCTCCCCTAGTAAATAAATAACGACTAATCCCTAATTGCGCTGTCCCCTAGTTTTGTTTACCGCCTGTATAACGAGTCCCTTCTTCGATCATTCCGAGGAGGAACGATACTAGGGAAAACGCGGGCTCACTTCCAGAACAGCGGTCGGTAATGAAGCCTACCCTTGCCCGTCTTCTCAAACGTACTCTTTTGAAGATTTTGGAAACCAAACGAGGTTGAAGAGGCTTTTACATTTGTCTTATTTAAAAGGATCTACAGAGACCCTCTAAGCATTAGGTTATCGAACAGCACCAGATTCGCTACTCGTTCAGCGCAAACGAGTTAATACAGCGTAAGTTAGAAATAAAAATGGACAATATTCCGTCAGGTTTTATCACGTAGCTGACTTGTATATCACTTGGCTTTACTTCTCGTCAAAAAGAGTGGTTAGCAATTGGTAATTATAAAGAGCACGTAATGTTATAATGCAAATGAGTTGTACAAATGGACTTACTAGTTTGTTAATAAGTTCAAGGGACAAAAAAAAAATCGTGTGAAAGAAACATGTAATTGACCTTGCTAGGATTTCAGTAGAAATAAAAGACTTACCCAGTGCGGCGACAAAAATGATCGATGCACATGTCGGAAAAATATTATTTTTTTGTACTTTGTGTTTGTAGGCAGAAACAGACAATTCCGCTTTAGAAAACGTTCATTTCATAAAATCTAATTCGACGACACACGTGTCTTGGTTAAATTTATCTCTAAATATGCGTTTCACTTCTACTAAAATTGAGGAAAACCGATAAGACAATTTAGGATATTTGCGTTCGCTTTAGCTAATAGCCAATTTGCACGCAAACTCTCTTAGACTTTTCGAAGACGATTTCTTATGTAAGTGACGAGAGAAAGTGTTTTTACTCCCAAAGCTGTCAACGAACCTCTCAAAATATGCTATTTCGAAATACTTCACAGATCAGAACTGATAAAAATCCAATCAAACTTGAGTGGCCGTCAAAGTCTTTACCATTTCAGAGTGACGTTGCTCCGAACATCAGATAACCAAAATTTGTTACCATTTCATTAATGACTATTCAGTTTTTTCCAGAATCGCGTTCGCGTATGGACAATTGCGGCCTCTTTTGCACCAATTTCACTTCTGAAAGTAGCTACCCTCTTTATGAAATCACATGGAAATCAGTATGCCATTTTGGCCTTTTCCTTTGAAATCGATATAAACATGCGATTATATACCTTTAACTACATATTCGTTCAAAGTGACAAGTTTCTAAGGGAGCCGAGTTGCAGGAAAAGAAAATTGATACTGAAAACCTAAATAGATAAACCTCTGAGGCGGATTTTGGAAAGATGAATCCGCAGTGCGAGCAAACTTGTATACTGATCCAGGTTCAGTGATCAGTAAGTAATCATCGTCGAGTTGAAACGTTCTTTAGTTTTGCGCACAACACAATTGAAATCGGATCATTCAACTTTGACTATATAACATAAAAATTAAATTTTAAACTTATAGAATTGAATCATTTAACACGATAAGTTCAGTCTAACCTGATGCCAAAAGCTGTACCGTGCTCTTGAAAAAGCTTCTTCTTCTTCGTGTCAGTCAGTGTTTTGCATTTGAATCAAAAAAAAAAGAGACGTCATCTCATCTGAGCTAATTTCAATATTAACGTTACCATAGAACTATTTCCGTCAAAAGGACTGACAGTTTTGCAGAGTTTTCAAGATTTCTTTACGTAGAATTCGGCTGTTAGAATTTTCACTCTGAACCTGGGGTAGAGTGAATTAAATACAAAGTAAAAGCTTGCATTGCGCAAGACATTTTATTATGTCAGTATGACGACGTTGGCGTGGTAATATATAAAATTTACCATTCTGAATTTCGAAATTTGGTTATAAATTCAAGGTTAAATTAAGTCTTAAAATAAACATGAAACTAAATTTTATCGTCGGACAGTGTTCACTCCAAGAATGGATTTTGATTAGAATTTTAGAATTATATTCCACTTATTATATTTCAGAAAAGGAAAGTTCAAGATGGTGGCATACATCAGTGTACTGATGAATTTTTAACGTTTGAAACAAGTTGTAATTGACAAAAGTCATTGAAGATAATATCTTTCAAATGAAATTCTAATAAGATCACGTTCCTTAAACTAAGAGAGCATTTGTTGGACGGATATATTCAAAACAGACAGAGTACAGGAGAGTCCAGATGAGTGCGTTGCAAAAAGGACAGTTTTTGTTGTTTTGATTTTTTCCCCTTAAGTTTCAGAATGATGTACCATTAAGATGTAGATGATGTGCCATTAACGCCATAGGAAACTGATTGCACTCGCATGGTGAGAGGATCCAGCATAGAGATAGTGTAAAAATTAATGTTTAAGTATTCAGCTATAGTGATTCGCAGCAGTCAAGTCTAAAAACAAACATTAGGAGAGGAAGTTTGCTCCAGAAACTAAATTATTTTTTTTTACAATATACCATCAAATAGCATAAAATAAAAATTTCCCGAAGAAATGCACGACCTCCCGAAATTGTCTTCCCTTCAATTAATGACTAAATTTTCGACAATGCACGCCGCCATTACGTAAAAAAAAAATTACAATAACAACAACTCAGTATTCTCGCTTCCCACTAGTGACGTCGCAGAGTTCAATCCAAATGACGGGAACCTCGGGGACCAAGAGAATATCAACAGCTGATACTCTCTCAGCGAGAGCCATTATCATCTGAGACAGATATTTTTTAATTTTATAAGTGATACGTTGTTTTTCTAATATGACAGATAGATTGAGGAACCAGTGGAAAAAAAATATTTACCGGTTTCTTGTGTACTGATTCATTTTCTCTTCACATCTACCGGTTACTTGCAATTTACTCCAATTTTAGTGGAGAAGGGCAATTTTGAATGAAATTCAAATCCCCAGGATATGCAACTGAGTTTGGATGCTATTTTTGTAAATTAATTATGATAAAGCGGACGTTATATGAGCCAGTTCTTACAGAATGGTTTTCATCACCTTGAGTTCTAAAAACAGCACTTTTTCATCTTATTTTATGTAGGAGAGATCATTCGTCATGAGCACTCGAAGACATTGCCCTTAAAAAAATTGTCTTTATTCTTTCGACATCATTTGCTCAATTCAACTCTTTTTTCAGTTAAAGTAGTAAACTTTCTGGAGAAAGTTAGAGCATGAGCCCTCTTTCGGTCAGCTTCCCGGTCACTAACGGAAAATTCACCCCCCAAGAGACCAAAGCAATTTTTTGAATCCCTTGACGCCTAACATTTCAAAACAAGCATCTGAGGCTGCCGACGCCACGAGGCGAGAACCTCAAGTAACAACCACCTCTCCAAAGCACCTCCCTAGAGACACAAGTTTCTGGTCATCCTAGCCCGGAAAGTTTCGAATTTCGAGTATTCGGGCGGTGCAATTTCCATCATAAAAAAAAATAGCCATGTTGCATTAAAACGATCTCTAAGTCACGTTTTCCTTCAAAGTTAAAGTTGTCAACTCTATTTACAGCTTAATTACCACTTATCGTTTTCACTTACTACTTTTAGAAATTTTTGACGTGAGATACCTCAGTTTAATCAAGGGTTCCAATTAAATCCCCACCTCCAAAACTAGGCCGTCATATATCGTGCGAGTAAAAGTCGCATACCATGCGATTAGCATCGCTTGATTTTGGTGTAAATCATACTAAAAATCATGCGTGTTGATAATTATATAACAATTTTAGTTTAAGTATAGAGGTTTTTGCACAGCAGCCATGTTGGATGGCAGGAACAATAGATTATTTTACCAATGGAAAAAAAATTCTTTCTTATGAAAAATATATTCATTGTTCATCAGTATAGAATTCCATTGACGAAGATATCATGAAAATTATCTTCATTGTCTTTGTTTAAAAAGAAAGTGAAGCAGCAGTTTATCAAAGATTACTAGACATCTGTGTTGTCCATGTAACTTTAAAATGGAAATAATACTGTTTTGCGATGTATGAATTTTTGTCTCTTTAATATACTAGTAGTTTATCTTTGTGTGCGTTTCTGTGTTTCTTTGTTTTTGTGTCCCTGACCGAAACATTTTTACATATTTTCTTTTAACTGGCTGCCTGGTATTTTTAACTCTTAGGTTATTTCGGGCAGCCAGCGCGGCGCTCCTATCATTGTCTGTACTATTACTAACAATTTTTCTTTCTTGTATATTTTGGGGTGAAAAAATAAAGTTGTTGTTGTTGTTGTTGTTGTTCCTGCCATCTAGTCTCCCTTGCAGCCCTTTCCGGCGTCGTCACGCAAGCGAAAACTTCCCCACCAACGGCTGCTCACATTCGAACAACATTTCTTTCCGGAAATTGGCCAATCAGCATTTACTTACTATATTCTGGAATGCGTTCGCGCCTCAATAATCAAACTAATCACAGATTTCGTATTATCCGAACGTTGAAACTGACAAAATGAAGACGCTTTTGACTTAGTGCGAGATACTTTTGGCATTGAGAGCTTGGCGCATCAGAGAGAAGCCATAAAAGTAATTATAGAAGAGAGAAGAGATGTTTTCATAGATTTGTCCACAGGATTTGGGCAAACAAAACAGCGATCATTATCTGATATTTTCTTCGGAGTTTCGATGACATCAGATTCCATCTTTAGAAACTAACGCTAACGCGCTTCCTGTGAATTCGCGGGAATAAATATATCGCGTGTTCATTGGTTGTTTGTCAGACAATAACTTTATTTTGATTGGATAACACATTACAATGGGAAAGGAATGTTGTTTGAAGGTGAGCAGCCGTTGGTGGGGGAGTTTTCGCTTGCGTGACGACGCCAGAAAGGGCTGCAAGAGAGACTACCTGCCATCCAACATGGCTGCTGTGCAAAACCTCTATACTCTTCAAGAAAGAAAAAAAATACAAAACAAGTCTAAATTATTTGTTGATTGTTTGTCAAGTTACATACTTGCTCTGAGAAAACACAAATAACCACTGCAGACTAGAAGCGGTAATTTAATTTGTCAAAATGTCGGATATGAGTGTCACGTTTCTCTTAAACGCGTTATTTAGCCGGTGAAAGCGGGAACTGGGACAGACGCAATCTTTACATCCGGTGTATCCAGTCCCCTAGACAACGACGGACTACTCAGTGTTGCATGTTGCGGTAACCTTCTTTCCCAAATAAAATCACCAATCTTGGAGATTAAAGGAGTCACAACACTTGCGGCATTCCCTTCCGAAAAAAGAGAAAAACTAAGCATATGCTGATTATGCTAAGGGCGGTAAGTATAAAAGAGAGCAAAATTCATGCTCGTTTTTTCCAAATAATGCCAAAAATTATACTGCAGGGGTCTATCCAAAAACCCTTCTAACAGGGACATAATTTTTACGTTTACAACAACATGTTGCGTTTTAATTGGGTGGTTTTTTTTTTCTTTTTTTTTTGTTATTTCCAAATCTATTTTCTGGCCTTTTCCCAAACTGTTCCCTTTATCTGGGTTATTTCCTACTCGGATCATACCCTGTAATTGTAACTTAAAGGGCATGTAAACCCCCAAATCCTACATTTTCTTTTCACGTAGCTATTTATTAGCAAATATATCAAGTACACCAAAGGTGCAATTCGTTTTTTCTCAAAAGTCCATTTTCATCTTGTAAACTGAGCTCTTCCAAATTCGAAACAAATGCTTGGCCGTGGTAGATCTGGGTACGAGACTGACATCAGCCTGTACATATGCAAAATTCTAAAGGAGGCAAATATCAGCACAATCTAGCTGACATTGACAGTCCTATTTATTCATTTATCAATTAATTTTTTGAATTATTCATCATTTTTATGCATAAATGATTAACACCTTCAGAAACACGGTTTGCAGTTTCTCACAAATAACTGTAACTTGGCATAGCTCGTCAGTCAATCTTCCCATCTGTTTTCTCTCCCCACTCTTTCAGCAACACACAATAACGAGGCAGCATGTAGGGACGTTGGAATTCCGCTTTGACCAAACCATTCGAAAGCGTATTCGATCGCGTGAGAAGTCCGGAGAAATTATTACACGAAGACTCACCTCGCGAGAGGCAAACTGCAGAACAACCTGATGTACAATCACTGCTTTTAGATTAGCGAAAATGTACATTGCCGACTTTGGTTAAGATTTGAGCAGCGATTGAACTCAAGGTGAGGTACTTTTCCATTGCAGACTTATGTGACATTCTATTATCACAACTATTCGCGTCAGATTACACGATGAGACTGAAAAACAAACATTGCTTAAGTCAATCAACAAGGCTTTCGCTTTTGATTCGCATGCTCTTGATGTTCCTCGTAAAATGTTCCTTGATCAGCGTATTCAAGCTGTATCATGCCTTTTTTAATTTGTAAGCGTATGTAGTGTGGAATTGCATCGCGATGGAGTGTAAGCTGACACCTGCGAGCTAAGTCAAATGCGTCAGATTTCCGTCTCTTCATGGAAGTTTGGAAAATATGGAATGCCGGAATTCGGAACCAGAACCGGAATACTCGGAATACTCGGAATACCGGGAATTCCCGGAATGACCGAAAAATAATAAATTATAAAAGAATAAAAGTAAATTAATAAATAAATAAGAATATTGATGATGAAAGATAAATGGTAAATTCACAACTTAATTAAATGATTTAATACGAAATTATTCTCTGAAGGTCCCCCCCCCGCAAAAAAAAAAAAAACACTTAACCGGCACCGTTCATGGAGATGCACATATTAGAATTGAAAAAA